TTGAACTCGTGTCTACGATATCTTTGGAAAATACTGGTGTCTAGAGGCCTAGGCTAGAATCTGATTCTGCCAGTTAATAGTTGGGTACCTGTGGGCAAGTCATATTATTTCTCCAAGCCTCAGTTTCCTTATCAGTGAAATGGAGGCATAATGCCAAGGCATTCTTCAATATCTTGTTGTAAGGAAGACTTTCTACAAACTTTTAGGCAAAATAGAACGATGAGCTCTTACTATATGTACTACAGATTGCTTTTCAACCCTCAACTATCTGTTATGATTTTTCAAGTTCAACTTTCTACTTAAAAAATCCATCTTGCTGTTTGTAGTGTTATGATCTGCTCTCTAATGCCAGAGGGTATATTTTCTGCAGTGTTATGCATTAATATATTTCTACTTACGTCTATAAATGTCATCTAATTTCAAAATGTGTATTCATTTATTCATTCATTCCACAATCATTTATTAAGTGCCCTTAATGTGCAAAACATTTTGATAGGCATTGAAGGAGCTATTTGAAGCTTGGCATTGCTAGCTTATCTAGATGAAGTTAATTCAACTGTGAATCTGAAAATTTCGCTGGGTATATACTCTCTTCCAAATAATTTACAAATGTGTCAGGTGAAATTGATCCTAACTCTAATCTCCTGAGAATCATATGTCAAAATCATATGTCAAAAGGGTATATTAGATATATAAGGGGACCTGGAGACCATCTACTCCAAGTCTTCGTTCTTCTGAAATCCATAGGAGTTTAGTGATTTTCCCAAGGTCAAATAAATAATAAGTTGGTGACAACAGGTGCCAGGACCTGAAGACCAGGTAGATTTCAAGGCAACATAGTAGGCAATTGGAAATGGTTCCAGGGCTCTTCAAATAAGTGATTTAGGTCATCCTGGAGGCAGAAGTATGTGTTCTTCCATGTACCTTGTTTATATTGTTGTTGTTTGAGGCCTCTGAGAGTGAGTGAGAAACCTTTTGTAATTATGGTAAAGGATGATCCATTTTAGAGAACATCTTTACTAATAAGTAACTGATGTTTACACAACTGAAAGGAGATATATTTTAGTGTATATGTTTAAAATAATCTGTGCGCACAGCCCAACATAATTAAATGTCAGACATTGTTCTTCACAGTATTCATTAAGATAGCCAACTCTAGATATCATTAATAACAGTATTAATAAATTATAGTTTGTATAGTGCTTTATACTTTTCAAAATGTTTTCACAGGCATTAACTTGATGAACACTCTAATTGCAAGGAGCAGTCATGTAGATAATGATGCTTTTCCTGACTACCACAGTAGCATTTAAGTTAGAGAGAAGAATCAGGAAAGAAGAAGTGATCTCAGAGTAGGGAAAAATGTAAGGGTATTTAATGCAGATGTTTTTCTCAATCTCCTTTTGGTTCTTGGGCTTTCATGATTCTCATTCTTGAACTTTCTTTATACAGCTTAGCCCATGCTTACCCTTACCCCTTGACATTTTGACATAGCAATCCTTAACCCTGGGTCACCACCACGTTTCTTTTTCTCTGTTCCTAGTTCCATGGCATCAGACATTGATAGGAAAAGTAATGAAACTGGACTGATTGAACTCACTACAAATTCATGCTTTCTAATCTCATTTTGGCCCTCACTGCTACTGCTCAATCCTTTAATTCATCTCCCTGGCAAGTTCCCCACAGCAGCTGTTCAAAGTCTTTTCAAATGCCTCAGATCTTTGCTCCCATCCTTCCCACCCTTTCTTTGGCCAAATAACCTCTGCTTCTACACTGAGATCTGGCCATTTGCCATGGGCCTTATGGTTGATTCTATTGGCCCTACTATGTGCAAGGCTCCATGCTAGACACCAGGGATACAACTATGGATATGGTTTAAAGCGTTTTTGATACTTATTGTTTCTCCTCCATATGCTCTAATTCTCTCTCAAGACTAATTTATCCACTTGTGTTTTTTAATCTCTCCTTCTAGGAAGAGATTGTCTTTAGGATCTTGTGCCACTGTTTATATCCACTCTGCATCTTCATTCTCTCTCTCTCATTCTTTGCTATGGACACTCATTTCTCCCACTTGGAAGAAATCGTTGGACCCTATCTTCTTGAAGTACTTTGCTAGTTCTCTCTTTCCTTATGCCATCACACTTCCTAAAAGAGTAGACAATATGCACCACTTACCATCCTTTCACTCATTTGTTATATAGTGTTGATTTCTATCATTTTACTCAGACTTCTCTCTAGAAATTTAATGATGTCTTTTCTCACCACAAAATTGAATGACTTTTTTGCAGTCCTTAACCTTTTTTTTTTCTTCTTTGCAGCATTCTACACAGTATATCATTGCTAACTTCTGAAAACATCCTGATTCTTAACTTTCTGGCTTGTCCTTTTCTGTCTCCTTTGCTGGCTACATTGGTTCATTTTGGCCATACTGAGCAATGCCCATGTCAAGTTCCAGAGGGAAGAACATGCTGAGTAGGCTTTGTTTGAGCTCAACAATTTTTGGTTCAATGGTCACACTGATCAAGGTGAGCTTTCACCTGTCATTGATTTTTGGGAGTCTTGCCATCGTAAATATGAGATGGGTGAATGCACCTGGTGTGGTTTCTGCAACTTCATGGACTTTGGGTCAAACTCCTGGGACCTTTGCCAGCAGCTCCATGGCCATGGTCTAAGAAGAAAAGGGCTATTACTTATGAGACCTGGAGGAGAGTATGGTCGTTAAGAAAGGAACTGAAGGCAATCTCCAGATGCTTCTTAGACCCCTAGATGTATCGCTAATAATGCTCTCCTAGGCACCTTCTCTCTCTCACTGGGACAGTTGCTGCTCTCCATTTCCTCCGTTGCTTCTTTCTTCCACTTTCAGGCTTTGGGGATCCAGGGACCTTCTGGTCTTTCCATTTCCCTTGGATGTGGTCTTTTGACTGAGTCCAAGTTTTATAGAAGTTTGGATTCACTCAAAGGGCTGCACTTGAGGACCTAGAGGGCCATGTATGGCTTTGAGGCCTCAGGTTCCCCTCCCCTGCAGGTATGTGGGAGGAGTGGGAACTACCTCCTTCCTTTCCCCAATAAAATTTGTTTTTTTGTTTTTTTTTTGGCTAGGCAGTGGGGTTAAGTGATTTGCCCAGGGTCACACAGCTAGTAAGTGTTATATGTCTGAGGCCGGATTTGAACTCAGGTCCTCCTGAATCCAGCGCTAGTGCTCTATCTACTGCGCCACCTAGCTGCCCCGTTTGTCCTTTTTAAAAAAAAAAAATATGAATATTCTTCAAGGTTCTGAAAGACATACTCAGCTTTTCTCTCTATGTATTCTTTTTCTTGATGATCTTACTAGTTTTCGTAACATTTGTTATCACTTCTAAACAGATGATTCCCAAGCATATAGCCCTGACTGTAATCCGGTCTTGTAACCCTAACTATTGAATAAATATCCCCAAATGTCTCTCTCATTGACCCTAAAACCAAAATATATTAAGACCAAACTAATCGTCTTTCCCAGAAAACTTGTTTTTGCTTCAGACTTTTAAATATTTCTTTCAACAGTATCATCCTTCTACTCAACCTAGATTCAAAACCTTTCCTTCACTCTGAGTTCCTGTTTCTGTTTCACCCTCTGATTGGATGTAATCAGTCACCACGTCCTATTGATTTTTCATTTGTAATGTCTCTTATAGCTGTCATTTCCCTTCCCTCACCCCCGAATTTCACTGTCACTATCTTCTTCCAAGCCTTATTATGTTGAATCTACATGAGTGAAGTATCTCTTAACTGGACTTCATAATCTAGTATCCACTTAAACACTGTCCCTAGATTGAGATTTCCAAAACTCTACTTTATGAATATAATACTGTTCCTCAAAAACCTTCATTGGTTCTCCATATTAAGAGGCTGAGGCTCAAATGGCTTAGTGTTTCTTAACAATTTGGTCCCTCTCTGTGATTTTGTCCTAACTATGCTTTGGTCATTTTCTCTGCCTTGAATGTTTTCCTAACTATCTTTTCACTAGGTATTCTTTCCAGGCTCAGCTCCAGACTAATTTCTTACTGTTTATATCACTTATTTAGTACTTAACACATGTCTTTATTTCTATGTATAATATGTACATACACATATGCATGTGTATATATACATACACAGACATACACACACACATATGCATATATATGTATAGATGTATAGATGTATAGATGTATATGCTGCTTTGCTTTCTTTTCTATATATACGTCCTTCTCTCCAGTTAGATTGTAAGCTCCCTGAGGAAAAGAAACATGTTCCATTATTTCTTGTAAGTCTCTTAAGTTACGTGGAATAAGTGTTAAGCAAATGTCAACAGTGATGATGTTGTTCCATTTTCATTTCTTTTTTTGTACCATTAGCAAACATGATATTGCTTAGGGGACATTTTTCTAACAAAAATTTCTGTTGGTTTAAATGGAGAAGAAAGAGTGGATTGAGATTAATATCAAGATTTAACATATATAAGAAAATGCTTAGTAAATTTTTTGTTTCCTGTTGCCCTTGGCTTTTCTCTGTTTAACCTACCGTGTTAGACTAGAGCAATGGAACAGAACAAGGAATAAAGTTTTAATTAAAATGCTTATAGGATCATCTCCCATGAGAAAAGATACCTTTTGGGAAGTATGGCCAGGATCCTGTGTCCTTAAGAACAGCTAGATATTAGGTTGGAGAATTGATTCCTAGAATGAGTAGATCATCTGATAATTTGAACATTGGATCATAGGGAATTGACTTTAAAAGACAAACAAAAACTTTAGAGTTTTTCTTCCAGTTGTACCAAAATTAAAGTAACATGAAGAAAATATTGTATGGCAAAGTGGATCCTATTAATCTTTAGTACCTTTTAAAAATAAAAAAAAAATGGTTGTGATTGCTTTAGGACTTTTTTTTTGATCAGACAATAAATTATTTGAAATACAATGTGTTACTAAGACCAAAATGGAGGCAAAAAATAATCAGTTCATTTTTTCCCCCCTTCTCCTCAGGAAATTTGAAGTATTGCCTATTGATCCTTAATCAACCTTTGGACAGAAGTCATTTTCATCATCTGTGGAGCAAAGGTAATTATGGTTGGGTTTGTTACTAGATGGTCTGCTTTTTTTATGGCTATCAAGGCACAGCTCAAATGACAAGAATATAGTGGAATCTCAATAGGCCATTAAAAAGTAGATTTGAAGCTTAAGTCAATCTCTTGTGGATGCCATTCAAGGGGGTTTAATTACTGATCTACCAAAAGGACGTCATTATGAGGCTGTTTCATCTATAAAATAGTGTCACAGCATGGAACCTGATACTATTATTTTACTGAAGCATTAGGCTGCTATATTCTTTGTTCATAACTGGAGCCCCTAATGAGATGGCAACAGTACAAGCCAACAAAAAAATCCAGATGTTTCATGTTTGGCAACATCAAGGTGTAAGATTTTATAAAAGGAACAAAAAGGCGTAGATTAGTGCATTTGGAGAATTAAAAGAAAAAATAAAAATGAAATAATTCTACTTAGTGGGCTGCTTTCCCCCTGAGGTAGATTGACATATGAAGAAAACGTGAATGAATTTTATCTACCATTCCTCACTATGCAGTCTGTATAGGAATACTAATTCTAGGAGAGATTATCAGATGGTTTGTAGGGTCCCAAAGAAATTTCAGAATCTTTCTTAAAGTAAAAAACAAAAACAAAAATCTCTTCAAAAAGGGACCCCCATGGTCAGTATGTTTTTATATGATTTACAGTCTCTTAGGTTGATTTTAGTGCGGGCACAAGGCTAAAGCTACTTGGGATATCAGACCTTTACACAGTTTCAGTAATATTGTTTCCAATCTATTCTCTTTCACCGTTGTCCATGCAGCACAGCTAGTTCTGTCCAATGATACTCTTAACTAAAACAACTGTATGAAATGTAGGAGGGTCAACTGTATATACTCTTATTCCCAGATGCTGCAAAAAGCAAAGCCTGACATTGCAAATTCTGAATATGTACATTTGTTTTTATTGTCAGCTTTCCCTGTTCTGTCTGAGAAAGACAAGCAGCATTTGGTTATTTCTATCTAAATGGGCGGAGCATGCAAGCTGAGCTGCAGTCAAAACTGAGCTCCCTTTGGGGCTAGGTTGCACAGGGTTCCTAACAGGGGCTGATGTCACTCCATCGTCATTTCACCATTGTGCAGAGAAAATAGAAAAAATTACTCCATACCAGACCATCCAGCTTTACCCTACCACTCCCAGCCTTGGATTTCTCTAGACAAAAGAAGCTTGAGTAGAACACAATGGGCTTCCCTACTTTACAATAAATTCCTTGCAATTGCAATGGTCTGGACATTGAATTTATAGGCAAGACTTTGAAAGAAGGGGGGGAGGATCTCTGAATCTCCCCAAGATATTGGTTATTAATAATCATTTTTCACTGTATCATAGTACTTGGAGTCCTCCATCCAAATCTTATTCTGGTGCCTCATTGTGGCATGGAGGCCACTCTGGATTCTTGCAGTTTGAGACAGCAGAACATAATCTTTGGAAGGTTTCACTAATATTGAAAGTACAGAACCTGTGTCAGACTGTATTTGCTGCTGAAGGAATGGAAGCTGATCATGCTAATATTTGGAATATAGCTCTCATGAGAGTAAGAGGTTCAGTGTGGTTTTGTTTAGCTTCTCTCAGTAGGAATGCAGTAGTTAAACTTCAGCCAGCATGTCATTTTAAGTTTTAAAACTGGAAGGAACCTTAGAGATCTTCTAATTCAAACCCCTCATTTTGCTGATGGAGACAAGTTAAATTAATGATGAATTAATAGCTTACTTTTAAATCACTTTACATTCATTTTATCCTCTGAATTACGCCATGAAGCAGGTGCTCTTATTTTCCCCATTTTACAGAAAAGAAAACTGAATCTGAGACAGACTTCCCCAGGGTCACACAGCTAACATCTGAGTTGGGTTTTGAACTTACATCTTCGTGACTGCAAGTCCAGGGCTCTGCCCACTCTAGTTGTCCATGATTGTAGTTGTATCATCTAGTTGTCCATGATTGTAGTTGTATCATCTAGTTGTCCATGATTTACTCAGGTTCTAGCAGATTCAGGATTTGAACCCAGATTCTCTTCCTAAATATGTTGTTCCTTTTACTCCACCATACTTTCCTACTGACAAACTACATATTAATGAGTCTTTTTTTCTGATTCAAAGGGGATCAATTTTTAAAGAAAAAGCATATTAATACATTTGGTGCATATTATTTGTAGAATGAAGCCATGTCCCACAGAGTAGTTCATTCCCTAAGCTTTAGGGCTCTGGTGTCAAACTCAGAGACATGCAGGTTTAGTATAACTTGGTCCTATTGGGCGGGTGGGGAAGGACTTCTCATATCTCTTCTTCCCAAAATGTTTTTTTTTTTAATTGCAATGGGAAGATGCTTTCCAATTATGTTTGCTGGCCTAATTATCTTAAAAATAAAAACAAAAACATGTAGAGATACTTTTATGTGGTCAAGGCATTAATATTTTCCACTTTGGTGTGATGTTGGAACTTAATAGAATGAGTTAATTTTGTTTACCTATGAGGTTGAACAGTTCTGACTGCCTCTCCTAAGTAGTATTCTTAGTGAAAGTAAGAGAAGATTGGATTGACCAAACCAAATCTGGAGTGTTCCATGAGACAAGAAAAGGTAAGCAGATGAGCTCCACCCCCCCCCCCCCATTAGAGTTGAGATGGCCTAATTCCTCAGCCCATCCTACTGCATTCCAAATCAGTGCAACTTTGTTTGAAATGGCCTTTTCTAAAACATTGGCATTTTCATTTTCAACAGTGGTTTTCCTTTCTCTGAAATTGTTTTGTTATTGAAAAGTAAAGGGCTATTCCCCGTGGTGGAGCATTTCAATTGAAGTACACAATTTATTCTGCTGGCATGTGAAGGACTTCTTGAACAGCATGCTGTGGGGAAGCACAGTATGAGGAAACATTGAGGGGAATCCGCCGTGCTCTCCTCCCCAAAGTATAGTGCCTACAGCAGTCCATAAAGGCATTTCTAAGTCCAGCCCAGCTATTTAATCTTTGTAATGTTGTGTGGGATCAAAATCTATCATTCTAACTGTGTTAGATAAATTAAACCAAGTCTTTAATGTTACTGCTTCAGCTCTGCACCACCCGTTGCTAAATAGGCCTTCCTTTGCAGCCAGATATCCAAAAAGCTACTGAGAATTGTCACCTTATTGTTTTGAGAATGTACCTTTTACTGAATGGAGATGAGTCCTAGAAGAGGACTCCTATAGGAAGCTATTTATTTATAAAAGAGTTATATGTTTTGTTTTGTTTTGTTGCTAAGGAAATAATAATTAGAAACTGTTGCATTAGTATTTTGGGAAGTGGAATCCTATGGAGCTTTTAGGTTTCAATAATAGTTGCTTTCAAGTATTTGGAAAGAAACCTGCCAGTGGGTAAGAGCACAAAATAAAATATGAGAGTATTTTCGTTATCTTTATTACTGCTTTGGGAGAGAAATTCCACTGGCTAGGTGAAATCCTGGCAAAATTTCCCTTAGTTGAGATTTTGATGGGGGTATTTGCAACAAACAGGGATGATCTAGGAGAAGTGCTTATTAGTGTAGTAATTGGAGACACCCAGAGAGAAACTGCAGAGCAGAGGACAACTTGGGAGAAAACATTAATTATGTATACATTCAAAAGAGTTAGACCTACGGACAAGATCTAAATGAAATTCAAACTAGGTCCCCCAGTAAGGATTCTGTTTCATTATGTGACTAGTTTCCTGGGATCCTGCTGGTTGAGATGACATTCTCAGATAGGAGAGGGCATGATACATACCATTCAGGTGCATTCAAGCCAGCAGCAAGCCAGTGTTTACTTCAGCCTGGGCAGTGCCAGGTGGTGAGGCCTGCCCACCTTTTTCCTTTTGGCTTATATTTCCACAAACTTTTATAGGTTCTGATAAGCTGGGAGTGGGCCCTTAGCCTAGCAGTGATTATCTTAGTCCTGAAATAGCCTAAGTGTTTGGTAATAGTTAGGTATGTCACCTTCCTTGTAGAGCTACCATACTGACAGTATTTTTCTCATTTTTGGTGTACTCTGCCATGCTGAACTTGTTTTCTGAGCACGTAAGTGAATACTGTGGCTGAGATCTGATGAGCAATTTGCATGTTTGGTTCAGGTCTATCGAGCAAAACTGTTATGTACAAGCTTCAATCTCTGTAAATAAGGCTGGCAGAAAATATATATCCCATTTTGAAAAAAATAAAAAGAACATTTAAGGAGCTGCAAAAGGACCATATTAGTGTAAATGAACCTTTGAGATATTAGTTTAACAAAAATAAATCTTTCCTTTGGTACTTACATTACCCTAAGTTTATCCCTTTGCCTTTAATGGTACCTTATTCAATCATATGTCAAAACATTATTGATTTAGAGCTAAAAGGGACCCTAGAGGCCATTTAGCCCAATGTTCTCATTTGACAGAAGAAGAAACTGAGGCAGAAAGTTTAGGTAATTAATTAAAGTAAGTCAAATAAAGTCACACAGATGGTTGTGGGGATTTAAGCTCAGGCTTTCTGACTACAAATCTAGCCTTTTTTTTAAACCACTTCATACTGCTTCTGGGAGTTTGATGTCAAGGCTATAATAGACTCGACTATTCTTGAAGTTTAAAGACTTGGGTTCAAGGTCTGGAATCAACAATGACTAGCTATGTAACTCTGTACAAGTCTCTCTGACTGTTTCCTCTTCTGTAACATGGGAATACTTGTACTGCCCAATTTCTAGGCCTGTTGTGAGGGAAGCACTATGTTGATTGCAAAGGGCAATATGGATAAAAGCTCTTCATTATGCTTTTGAGGAATTGGTTTTTTAATCTGTCATGGCAGATTTGATTTGAGGTTAGAGAAAATTTTTATTTTTCCACATTACTGTCCAATTTCCCTAAAGTTTTACCTCATAATTTGCCATGCAGGCAATTATACTCTAGTTCACAAATATTGATTGGTGCTAATTCTCATCTGTGACCTATTAATTAAATTATTCCCCTTCCACCAAAGCCCTCTATAAGCAAGTTTTC